ATTATTATTATTATTATTATTATTATCCTAAAAACGGTTTCCAAATGTCTGAAGAATATCAACTCACGCGATGTCAAAACGTTAATGGTGCTTCTGGGTCCTGGTCCAACACTTGTATGACCCCTGACAGATATTATATAGTTTTCACACAATCTAAGGTTGTACAGTGTGTACTGGGTAGCCTGTGTTGTAGCATTAAACATTTCCTGTAATGATCTTCGTGAACGACCTCCCTCAACAACTATTGACCAAAAGATCTCGTACTTAGTAACCACGCCGTTGCTTTGAGCTGTTGTTAACGGTTGCCAAGTAACCAGGAATGTTGTGTCGTTTATCTTCGTTGCTGTTGTATTTTGTGGACCAGTTTCAGGGACTGAGAGAAAGAAATTTAACAAAATTGTAGATAGTTGCAACTGTATAAAAATAAATTATTGATCAAACAAGGAACAAAGATAATGGCCTTCTCACCATCCTCTAATGTTCTTATTGTTGTAACGCTGCTTACAGGACCCATATACATAGTGTTTCGTACAGCCACTGATATGTCGTAAATAGTGTATTTTCTAAGATTCGTCAGCGTTGCATAGTTAACGTTACCCACGTCAATCTGTTGTTTTGTTCCGCCTTCTGGTTCGTAGAAGATCCTGAATCCAGCCATTGGGCCATGTAACAGGTCTATTTGTGAATACTAAAATAAGCAGATCTAAGATAAGGCCCTGTTAAGCGTGTGAAAGTTGAAAGCTGAAACTTCCTTGACAACCAAGAAAGCCGAATTCAAATAGAAAGAAGCTTTCCTCCTCCAACCTCCCTCCCTCTAGCACTGTTGAATGGACGAATGCTCATGTACCACCAATCGTTAGCCGAAACAATATTGATAATGCGGAAGGGTGTTTATAGTTTCTGGTGATAAATCTTAGAGCAAAGTTTTACAAATATTCCCATGGAATTAGAAATGGAGCATAGGGGTGTCATTATTTTATTCGCCGATTGTAGGTTTACCTTCTAATAACATCTTCATTATTCGTGAAAGGTTTGAAGGATAAGAATCGAAATTTAACGTTTGAAGTATATATAGGATAAAAACTTTTAAAAAATTTAAAAAACCAGCAATAGCAAAAAATATCAAAAATATTAATAAATGCATGTTATTGTAAATAAAATTAAAAAAACATTTAAAAAAAAGAAGAAAAAAAGGACAGAATTTTAGCTTATCCCCTCGCTGAAAAAATGTACAAGGCATAGATAGTTCTTTTAAAGGCGCGATTACACGGAGCAATTTTCTCTGCAACTTGTCTCGCAACATGCGTTGCGACACAAGTTGCATGGAGCACTGCAGCGTGTAGCCTACAGCGCAATTTGAAAAGATGTTGCGAGGGAAGTTGCGTTTCTAATTTTGGCAACGATTGCGTCTCCATTGAACCGTGTAAACACTCTTACAACTTGTGTCGCAACGCTATTGCGAAACAAATTGCAGAGAAAATTGCTCCGTGTAATTGTGTCTTGACTCGAGAAAGGCCCTATGTGTTTAGGTACCTAATACGGCAGTTATATTAATTAATTAATTAAGCAATAAAGCAATTAATTAATTAATTWAATTAATTAATTAGGTACCTGAAACAGCAATTATAATTAATTAATTAGTTATAGGATAGAATTAATTAATTAATTAAATTAATTAAAGTTGTTTACCTTGAAATAAATTCCAATACTTTCTGATGACAGCGTAATTGTCCCTATGATTGATGGAACACCTTGCGGCTCTACAAAGATATATAATTTTAGAACAAATATTGAACAATAAATTTATATAAAGATTATGCAGCTTGGGCTGCCTGTGGTTAGATGGCAGAACAATAAAATCCCTTTGCTCTCGGGAATCGAATTCTTTCTCATGTAAAACGATTGTATTGTTCCAGCCATCTAACATGGCTGCCGTCACGTGGTGGTACAAAGCCTCTTTACTGAACCCAAAATTCTGAACATCTTTTTTTTGTTCGCTCACTCATTCTAAAAAATGTTAGAGCCAAGGACTTTGCCTACATAGAAGTGTGTGTGTATCAGTGGTAGTATACAGTCAGTTCAAAAAAACGTTGTCGTCGATCGGCTCAAGCCAACGCGACTGGACCGAAAGGAATATGGGTAAAAATCACTGAAGCGGTTAAATATTCGTTCTGAATTAATTGTTCCCGCTAGTAATAGATAATAATGGCAAGAAACAATCCATCAAATGCATGTCTTTGGGTTTAGGGAAAGAAAAACAAAGTAGTTATGATTCAGTTCACAATTTCGAAGATATGAAGGCATTAAAAAAACGTCTTCTTCAACACTTCCCGCTTGCCTACGAAGGTTCGTGCTGTAATCCAGGCATAACTAGTCAGATAAAATTATTGAGTCAACTCGGCTTCAATAATTGCTACCCAGAGTTCCTTTCGGTCCAGTCGCGTAGGCTTGAGTTGGTTGACGGCAACATTTTTTGAATTGACCGTATGAACAAGCACTTTTGAATGATAAATACCAGCAATTAGTGTTGAATCATTTAGCCAACTGCTCCACAGTCCTTGCCCCACAGTACTTATTGCTTTCATTCTGATGCTGTAGCTAGTGTACGGCTTAAGATCTTTAAACATGTAGTTAGAAGGAGGATGGTGTGCATTATAGGTGTTGATTGAACCGCTCTGATCTAGGAGTTGTATGGTGTACGAGGTAATGGTCCCGACGTCATCAGAAGCAATCACTACTGTCCAGCTGAGTGTCATCGACGTCTTGTTTGGTGTTACTGCAACATCTGGTGCTTTCAGCACATCTGCATTATAGAAAGGCAAAACTTGAGTACTAAGATTTTTCTGCATAAGAAATTCGTAAACAAACGCCAACCGGTTGGCTCAGTTGGTTGAGCATCGGACTTTCGTGCGGGAGGTCGTGGTTCGAGTCCCGGCCGTACTGACACTCAGGGTCTTAACATAACTGAGGAGAAAGTGCTGCCGTTGTAATTACATCTGCAAATGGTTAGACTTTCAAGTGGCTCGGATGACCACTCAACGTCTCTCCACACTCATCATTACTAACCAACATCAGAGGGACGTAAAAGAACCACTGAGGACGTAAAGCAACCCTGGCAGTGACCACCCTCAGTGCCTACACCTCATACTAACCATCTCTCATTCATAAATCATTGTAAAGCGCCTTTGAACATATCCATATGGAAAAGAGCGCTATATAAATATCATAATCATCAATCATCATCAAAGGATGAAATCAGAAATGTCACATAATTACTTACTCAGGTTCACCGTCACTTTCCCCGATGCCTCATTCATTCCTCCACTTGGCACGTAGTTTGGATACGTTGCCCTACACGTGTAGATCGTGTTACAGACCACAGCTCGTGTGTAAGGATTCTGTCTTGTACAGTTGTACTTGGACATCACATCTTCAGCAGAGATAAACTGTACTTGTAGTGTTGATTGTGTTGCACCGTTGATCTTGGTTCCATTGTTAAACCACTGTATGTCAGGTGCTGGTTCACCAAGTACACTACATGTTAATGTAATGGATCTTCCTTTGATGGTTGGAAGGATGAGGTCATTTAGACTTATTTTGGGGRCAACGACTGCAATAACACCGAATAATTAGCATTATTGAATAATGTTTAATATTTCCGGCTTTGAATCATTCCCAAGAGAATGAAATAACAAAAGACACGGCGGCCATGTTGGATGGTATAACAAAGGTGAATAATGACGAATCTTTTGTTAAATTCATCCAACATGGTGGCTTYGATAACCATACGTTTCTTGTAYGACTTACAGATATCACATCCATAGACATCAAATCGTAGACAATATCTGCCCCCTGAGTTRTGGGTCTGAGGAATAATTCTGATATAACGTGCTGCTCTTGGATTCCTGAGCCAGTTGACTCTGACGCCATTCCTATCGCTGTTTCCTTCTAAATCCTATTTAATACAATCCGGGAATGTACGAGAAATAAGCAGATTGTCTTCATTGAGAGGGATTTAAAACAGCAAAAGGCTTTTAAAAATCTTCCATAAGAAAACACTGGYCATAAGGTCATTAGGATGTATTTTGACAAGGCCTACATGACTAATAATCATAGCCCAGACTATAAACCCCTTGCGAGTCCCGAGAAGAATTGTTATGGGGGACAAAACAGTGGATTTTTTATTTATTTAATTATTATTTATTTATT